ATCTTACTGTAGTATTCATCACTTTATCAAGTAACTAAGAAAGATTATTATGTTAATGCAAACCTCCTGGATAAAGCTTAACACTCTATACAAAGTCCATTAACAGTGTGAATTAGGAAGAGGAGAGGAGGAGGAGGAGAGGAGGAGAGGAGGAGGAGGAGAGGAGGAGGAGGAAGGGGGAATAGATGAACGATGGTGACTAAGAAAGAATCAGAGATGCCCAAGTCACTACATAAGCAAACACCTAAGATAAATAAAGGAGAAAAAATGAGATAAAGAGAATTTGAAGCAACAAGAACAATAACAACAGAATTACAGGAATCAGCAAGTGCCATTCAATAGCAGCTCTAGCACCAGATGCAGCCGGGCTTGTTGTCATCTAAGCCCTCAGGAGGGGGAAAGCAAACAAACAGTCATGGATTTGAGGCTGATCTGGTCTTCATAGACCACCCAGGGCTACATATTAATATCGTCTCCCAATAACAACAATAATGATTACAATCCACATATGAACGGTCTTAAGTCTAATTCAAAGATGCAAAGGACAAAAAGAAAACTCTGTACATTTATATCTCAAACTTTTACATGTTCATTGATTGTGCGCACCCAGGACGGTTCTATATCTTGGATACTGTGAACAGAGCTGCAGTAAACATGGACGTGCAAGTGCTTTTGCATTCTGACTTCCACTCTCTTGGGCACATACCCAGGAGTAGCGCAGCTGGATCACTGTGGTTCTGCTTTGACTTTTTTTTGAGCAAACCTCCACACTGGTTTCCATGATGGCTTCCTTAGTTTTCATCCCAGGGGCAGTGTGCAAGGCTTCCTTTCCCTCCACACCCTTGCCAGCATTTCTTTTTATTGGCTTTGTTGATGTTTGTTAGCCTTTATGACCGGGGTGAGTGCACTATTGATTCATATCTTCCTGATGACTAAGCAGGTTGAAGATCTTTCACGTATTTATGATGATTTATACTTCTTTGGAAAACTGTCTATTCAATTCTCTTGTACATTTATAGATTCAGTTATTAGTTTCTTTGGTGTTTAACTTTAACCTTATATGCTTTATATCTATTTTAATGTCATCAATATCTTCTTTAATTTTATTGCTTTTAATCTTCCCTTCATTTTGGTTTGTTTGGTGGTTAATCTTTTTATCTTTTCAAAGAATTCTTTATTTCAATGACTCTGTGTTAGTCACACATTCTCCATTTCTTAACTTCGACTTTGATCATTTTTCCCCCATGTACTGATTTTAGGTTTGATTTGTTCTTGTTTCTCTAAAACCGTTATGTGCATCACTAAGTTACTTGAGTTCACCGTGCTTGTTGGTTTGTAGGTTTA